ACGAAACCCGAGGAATAAAGTGGCAAGAGTCCTACCTCCAAGAAGGACAAGGAGATGAGTAGATGATCTTAGTTGAACGAGACGAAGAATACATGGTCACCACGTGCGAAGATTGTGGCTCATGGAGTTGCTTATATCAATTTGCTAATAAGTGAAAAATGCATATAAAATAATGTTCTATAGGATAAATTGAATTAATGTGAACCCATATTTCAAGCTATGTCGATAAAATGAGACTGTTGATATACCTAATATTATTAAAACCTTGTGAGTTGAACGAAGTTTGTCTTGGTTGTCCTTACTGTTGGTATAATGATGCTGAAATTTGGTTGTTTAACACAATGTAACAACATCCGACTTTACTAGATCGTTAAGCTTAGACAAATAATCTTTTACTTTTGTAAATTATAATTTTCCAAGGAGCCAGTATCATCAGTCTATTTTCAAATGTCCTTGAGGCATTTATGAATGACACTATTAAGAACTGAAAGACGAAACAAGATGACAAACACATTACATTTTGCATATAACTCGGTATTGTCAATTCTCTATTACTAGATCGTAAATATGAAAGATAGATAGAAGTTTAATTAGTTTGTTTTGTTTTTTTATCGAAATTTTACTCTAAGTATGACCCTAAAACTTGATTCGTGACGTTTTTCTGAGCAGCTAATTTAGTTGTGTTTGGATTAAATGGTAATGCACAGTATCTTAACTCATTACTACTACTTTTTTTTCAGGGGTTGAACGTCTTGTTCGACATCTTTTCAACCATCACATCCCAACAGCTATTGCTAGTAGTGCAACGCGAACCATATTCGATAGTGTCAGCTCCAAAAGAAAAGACTTTTTCTCCCTTTTTCATCCTATTATTTTAGCTGGAGAAGAACCAGAAGTAAAAAAATGTAAACCTGCTCCAGACACTTTCCTAGTCTGTGAGGCACGATTTCAGACAAAAGCAGAACCAAAAGAGGTATGATAGAATCCCATATATTTTGGAAATTTTACAATTACAACAATTTATTTAAAGATATGGATATATATAAAGGTTTTAAAAATCTGAGTGATTGGATATTAGTTGAAGTTACTGCTTTTCTTGGTAAGGAAAAAATTAACGCTAAAATCCGCGGTTCGTTACCGATGGTGTACAGAATACAGATCGCCCATTATGTAGCTTTGTGCTTAACAACAACCAACCCAACAAAAGCACAAGGAAGTTTTAAGCGCATTAAAAGATCTCTAGGGAGTGATATAATAAGTCATCGTTAAATAGAAAATAAATTAAGCAAATATAGAGATAATTAGGCTTAATAATAATAGTATTTACATTTTTTTTTTTTCTCTTACATAGACTCCAAAACACAAAGTGACAACGCTATTAATTAACTTCTCAGTTGTGTCACATGTAGCTTTCTTAATGTTAGGATGAATTTTTCGGTTGACAAATGCAGGGAATTACCTTATCATTGACATTATTCTTGAAACTTAGGTTTTCATTCATTATTATTTTGTTTGTCATTAAGCACTTAAATAACTAAGAAACCGGAAACTTCTTAAGGCATTTTAAGGAAAATAAATATTACTTGCAGAAATGGGAAGATCATTATGTGTGCTGAAAAATAGTGTTTCATTACAAAACAACCCTGTTCATAAATTTTGGAATTGATCTTATTGTTGACAATGTCATGCAAAAGCATGAAGAGGTAAAAAAAGTTGCTGTAAATAACAACATAAACTATCTTTAAATTGAACTTCTTTTCAGACTTTAGTTTTCGAAGATTCGGTTGCTGGAGTAGAAGCAGCTGTTGCCGCGGGAATGCCAGTAATCATGGTGCCATCAAAGGATATTGATATTGCCCTCTGTGGAAAAGCTACATTAGTGTTGAATAGTCTACAAGACTTTCGCCCAGAAGAATTTGGACTTCCTAGCTTCTGAAACCAATGAAATATCAAAGTATACCTAGTTAAGATGAGACTAAAAAAAATAAATCGGCATATAATTTACTCACACGTAATCGAGATAAACTTGTAATCATTTAAGGCATTTTTTTTCTTTCGAAGACGAGTCTTCATGTCTCTGATATTAAAGATTTCAAAAAGGGAAAGATGTGTCCTAGAACGAATATATACCGATATGTACTCATACATACTGTACACTTCTCAGAGATCAATTTAGACGGTCTGAGTGCTTTGTATCATCTTTTGTTAGAAACTGTATATAAGCAAAATAAAAACAGTTTTATTTGCATGTTTATAAAGGTTGCACTAGTTCATGAATACTAAGCTATTATAAAGGTGACGACGGTAAAAGTATGATTATAAATAACTGCCATTTCTACCAGTAATGATATACCAAACATACATATTCACAACTCTTGTAATGAAAGTATTTATTATTGACAATTAACACATTTCTTTCGCATTTAGCGGACGCACTTAAAGTCAGTTCAAAACCCGAAAACAATTGAAAATTAATGTAAAAATATGGAATTGTTAAAGCTAAAACATTTAAATAAGATTACATTTTTAACATGAATGAAATCTTACTATAATGGACGTAGCGTCTATATATATATATATATATATATATATATATTAGTTAAACAACGACGATGTCTGTAGTATTTACTTTCTTCTTAGTAATTCTTCTACAAGAAGTCGATAACGCCGTACTTAACGTTAGTTAGAACGAACGGGTAAAGTTGTAGTTAGTGATGAGTTCGGCCGAC